ACAGAACCGCTGCCCTCTGTCCCAATGCCAGGCTCCTGCTGCCTCTGTATCCGAGGCAGCAGCGCGGGGGGAGGGGGGGGGAGAAAGCAGGCTGGGTCCTGGAACAGCCTCTGTCCATGGGGAGCTTGGCCCCCAGCGCACAGAAGCCGCTCATCCGAGAAGCAGTGCAGGGCAGCAGGCGGTCTGTGTCAGGGGCAGATTTTCAAACCAGCTGCCTTGGGGTCTGGCTCTGTCTGCCCCCCCGTTTACGGCTAGCGGCTCCCGGCGTCCTGTGTGTCTTACCCCCCTTTAATCCAGTCTGCAGGCACAGAGTGGGAGACGGCCCAAGAGGTCCCTTCCAGTCCTAGTCACTGCCCAGCCAGCGCCAGACGCGCCACGCAACAACCCCCCCAACAGCCCTGCTGTGCCGCAGGTGCTCTCTCACCCTTCATGCCCCTGGGGCCAGCCTGCTAACGGGCCCGATTAGATCACCTGCTTTTCTTTAGCGGTTTGATGGATCGGAGCACGCGGCTTTGCACTGAGTCACTCCAGTCGCCGCGACGCCCCTGCACGCGGCTGTCACGCAAGGAACCTGCAAGCTGTACCCTGCCAGCCTAACTTGCAGTAGCTAGTCAAACTGCTTGTAACTTACAGCCAGGCGGCGGAAGCAGCGGGGTGTTAGGCTTTAAGGCGCTGCAAGACTGGGTGGTGGTGTTCATGCTTAACACAAGAACGGACAGAGCAAAGCTCCATCTGGCCCAGTGTCCTGTCTGCCAGGTGCCCCAGAGGGAGTGACCCGAACAGGGAATCCTCACGCGATCCCGCCCGTCGCCCATTCCCAGACAAAGAGAGGCCTGGGACACCGTTCCAGATGGGTTGGAATGTGCCACCCGCTCATCCTCCCCTTTAACTGGTTAACAATAGGTTTAGACAGTGAGCCAATTAAACGGGGTTTTACATCTCTAGGCCGTGTCTACACTGCAGGGTTTTTGCGGAGGAAGCTTTCTGCGACAGAGGTCTTCTGCAAAAGCACATCCGCACCTGAAACGCGCCTGACAAAAGCCACGTGCGTTTGTGCAAGAGAGCGTCCACACGGCACGGACACGCGTGCGCAAGAAGGTTCTGTTGGTCATTCCATCAGAGCACCTGGGCTTTTCCGGATAGGCTCTTTCTGCGCAAGAAACCCCTGTGGAGCGTCCACACACACCGTTGTGCTCAAGACCTCTTGTGCCAAAAGGAGGGATGCCTCGTAGAGGGCGGTATACCTACTCCGCAAAAAGCCCTCCGTTCTGCCGATCGACTGCACATTTCCTTGCGCAAAAACGCGCTTGGTGTGGGCGCGCCGCAGGTTTTTGCACAAAACCTCGGTCGTGTAGACACAGCCCTAGTTTCCAAGAGCTGATTTAAAGCCACAGCCTCCTCCCCCCCACCCCGGGGACATGCAACAGGAGTTCCTAACCTCAGGGGAAATCTAGCCAAGTCAGTTTCTATGTGGGGCCCACAGACATCATACATGGGAGAGCAGCTCTTCTCCCCGCAACGGGGGGCAGAAAGGGCTCCTCTCCACCCCGGCTGTCTTAGCTGGGGCAGCGCTAGAGGGAACAGAGCCCATGAAGAAAGGGGCTGCCCCAATACAGAATCCAGCAGCATCACCCAGGCAAACACGGACCCAACAGCCATCTCCCCAACACACCCGTCAGGAGAGGAAGAGGCAGCAAGACAGAAGGGAAGGGGCCAGAGCAGCAGCGGGGGGGGGGGGGGGGGGGGGCGATGGCTGGAGAGGTTCTTTCACTAACCCGCTGCCCTTAATTCATGCCAGAGTCCGTTCTTGGCCGCCCCACGTCCGTGCTGCTTTGCTTTCAATTCGGCCAGCGAAACCCATTTACCGTGCCTGTCTCATTCGGTTTCCATCAAACCCGCTGGACTCTCCGCTGGTGAAATAAGCATATTGACTCGACTGCCTTCCTTTGTCGGCGAAATGACAGTCTTTTCGGTGCCTATTTCCCTCTCCGGCAGGAGCTAAACGCGGCTTGTTTTGGATTGTGAACTGCTCCGACTTGTTGAAATGCATGAAAGGACCAACGCGGGGGAGCGAGGGGGGAGCAGAGCCGGGATCTATTTAACTGGGAAAGATGTTTCTAAGGAGACTATTTATTTACCGTGCAGTTAGTAATTTACTAGGAAACGGCGCTTTGGGTGAATGTTACCATGAGAACCTAACCCGCTTCTTGTCCTGACTTTGGCACTCTTGTCAGCCCCCAGTGTCAAATCTCCGAGGCTTTGGATCCCCCCGTTGCGTGTGAATCATCTGCTTTTTGCCTCACAAGCCGGCTCCCGGCTTCCCATTCCCGCCTTGTACAAGCCCTGCCACAGGGATGGCTCCATCACCACGGAGGGAGACCTCTACCCCTGCTCATGATGGCAGGTAGAATGCCTCAGCGCCACTAACGGCTTAGCTGGCACATAGATCGTGTGTTGGACCCTGCCTGTGGTACAGGGAGGGACCTGCACCCACCCCAAACATGGACAGCTAAGCAGCCTCCCAGCCAGCTGCCCTGAAATGACTGGTGTTCCTCATGTTTTGTATTTTGAAAACAGTGTTCCTGCTGGTGTTTTCCATCCAGGTGTGGAATACATTTTGCTCTGCGCACTGAGGCATGTGTGGATGTGCACCACCCAGAGAAACACATGCTGCGGACGCTCTGCTAATTAGTGGACAGCACTTGAATCTTTCGCGGATAGCGGCCCAAGCACTCAGCTCACAGGGTTTGAGCTTCTCAAAGACCTTGCTTCTTGCTTGGCCATTCGTGCCCCTTGTGTGCTGGCATTTTGACCAGGTGTAAGTGACTGGGCCGTGGGGAAATCGGATCCACTGATTCCACACATGCTTGAACACAAGCACACGTGCTGGTTTCTAGTAGCCCAGACCTTCACGTTACCACCGGTCTTTATCCGTTCTGCAGTAGGAGCCAGTTGTGGGCCAGGGCCCCACTGCGGTTGGTAGAGTGCAAGGAACCTGCCCCGACTGTAGAGGCACAGGGTCAGATTTCAGAGGGCTCACCCCCAACTTTGAACTCAGATTTCTCCAGAGGTGCGTGCCCTCTCCGCCCCCTTTGCCAACCCGTACGCAAAGTGAGGCCTTAAGTTTACATGCTAGGAAACACGCATTGACATAGGTGTGTGGGGAAAGGGGGATATTTAAAGGCCACGAACTCACCGATCGTTATAACTTCTAGAAATCCCTTTCATTCCTTTCCCCTCACCACCTTGTGCACTGTCTCCCCATTTAGCATCTTTGGTGAATGTCATTAGCTTGATCTTCAGGAAGACTGCCCACTCCTAGACCCATCAGGAAGAGAGTAAATAAAAGCCAATCTAATGCAATTCCTTGCAGTGTCTTGCTAGACCTTGCAGAGCCGGGATCTGACCTAGCCCACAGCTGGGCAGAAATTACAGTATTAGTGGAAGCAAAAAAAAACCTGCAGACAAAGCTATTTATTTGAAAGAAAGAATTAAAGCCCGGCCACGAAAGGGGATACAATGCTACTTTTCAATCAGCTTTCATTTTAAAAGCATCATTTCTTAAGTCATTACGCCTACAAGTATTTTGATTGGCAAACACCGCAGGTAGAGCTACCTGTAGTAGATGAAGGCTGTTGGGTTCGGTTTGTTTGTAAGCACTTAGTTTGTTAAGTATTTCCTGGTGCAAGCTGATGGCTACCCTGCGTTTTGTCTTACAGAATTACAGGCCTTTTAAAAATGTTAATGGGGGGGAGAACTGAGCCTATGATATCTGGCTAGCTATATATTTTAGTGTGCGTCTCGGTGTGTTTCTGTCTGCGAGTCTGTTTGTCCAAGAACTCCTCAATAGCAAGAGCTAAGGACACCAAACTGGGTAGGCAGCTTCCTCTTCTCCCAACTTAAAGCAAGATCGGGGTTTGGTTGTGCCAGGACAACTGGGAAAGGGACTGTTTTCCATGACATGCAAATGGAGGGGCTGCTGTTCGGAGGGACGGGATAGGAGAGTGGCCAATAGGTACAGTGAGCGCAGGGGAGAGCTATGCTGCAGGGAGACCACCAAGGGTATGTCTACACTGCAGAGTTTATCCAGAAAAACGGCCGTTTTTCCGGAAAAAACTACAATTTCATCCACACTGCAACCGTGTTTTCGATTTTGTCAATACAGAGGGGGTTTTCCGACGGTGGTAAACCTCTTTCTGCGAGGAAGAAGCCTTGTTGCGAAAGAGCTCTTTCGGAGAAAGGCGCATGTGGGCGGGGAAGAGGGAGTTTTCGCAAGATGCGGAAAGAGCAAAAAGCACAGGTGCCCTGGTGGCCACTCCGCCCATAGCAATCACAGCTGACATGCGAGAGCGCGTCCAATCAATGTGCACACGATCTTTCGAAAAAGCAGATGGCTTTTTCAATGCGCTTTGGCAGCATGGTCGCTCTCTTTCGGAAGAAGATTTTTCAGAAGATCTCTTCTGGAAAAGCTTCTTCCGAAAGATGCCTGCAGTGTAGACATAGCCCAAGGGAGAGGCCAGCAGGGTTGGGGCGCTGTCAGACTGTCTGCTAGCACACTGGGTAAGTAGCCTTCCCGCCCACCGGCCCTTGGCCTGGATGCGACGGGGAACAGGCCCCAGGCAGGGGGAGGAAGTGGAAGAAAACATGCCTCTGACCCTCCTATAACCTCCCACCCCACCGACCTGTCCTGCAGGACCTGAGCAACGCCAGGTAAGTCCACTCCTATGCCAATATTTACCACCTTTTTCGAAAGCATTACTTGTGGTCACAATAGGCTTTGGCGGCATTCCACAACTTGTATTTCATTTGTGCCGTTGGAAGGGACACTACGGCCAGACTGATATTTACTTTTTACTAATCACTTGCTTATTAATTACTTTTTGGTAATTACATTGCTTTTTACAGGGTCAGAACTAACTAACCTGAGTCAACTAAGCTGACCGTTTCTATGTTGTTTTACATAATTAGTTTGAGGAACGCACCTGACTGTGACCACAGACCTTTTATACCCGCACAAGCACACACGGAGCCCATGGTGAAACATTCAACATAGAGTTGGGTCAACGTTCGAAGGGAAGGTCAGAAATTTTTACCGATTTTTTACATGGCCTGTTGGATGCTAAAGGAAATCCTGCTTCCAGAATTTGTCAGCAAATCCCTACTGGCCAACTCACGCCAACCTCTGGGATTTAAAATAATTTAGCACCATCCCAACAACAGAAAACATTGCCCATTACTGCAATCTTTGATCCTGCCAAAGGCTTTACGCTTGGATGCTGCTGGAGAGTTTAGCAATATGGGGTTGAGGAAAGAACTTTCAGGGTTGTCAAAACCCATAGGACACTAATACCGTATTTTCCTGCGTATAAGACGACTTTTGATGTTAAAAAACATCCCCCCAAAATCGGGGGTCGTCTTATATGCCGGGTATGCGGCTTTGCAAAGCCTCGGGGGAAGCTGCTGCGGCTTTGCTCCCGGTGCCTCTGGTCTGCTGGGGACCGTCTCCAGCAGACCAGGGACACCGGGAGCAAAGCCTCTGAGGACGCCCCGG